CACCTGTGCCTTTGGACGCCTGTTTCACCGTTTTGTCATTTTTTGTTTTGGTTTCTTTTCTCCAACAAAGATCAACTCATTCCAATTATATCGAATGATTAAAAAAAGGTTACTTTGCTCATCATGATCGTTTTTCGTTGTTTCAGGCGGGTTTAAAATTTCTACCTGGGATACGTATGAAAACTGTCCAAGCAGCATGTTCAGGTGCTGTCAGCGTCCAACTCGGACGTGTGGGAATGTTGGCAATGTTTTTCTTATTCGCACCAACTGATTCTAACTATTTGACGTCTTTATCACAGTTAACACAAACTGTGATGAATGGTAGTTTGTTACAATCGCAGTGACTCCTCCACTTTATTCCAATCATCCAACCACGGTGATTCTGGAGCGCTGTCCTTCTTGTTGCCAGGAAAACGTAACACGTCAATCACGTTGTGTTGCTTTGGCAGTGCCAGCTGTGGGGTTTGAAACCAGTCACTTCACTCAGCACTGGATGCAGATCTCAGCCTGGCAGTGTTGCATTGTGGGAGGGGAAACTGGTGGAAGTCTTAGAGAGGGATGCAGGAAACAGAAGTAGATGACGCCTCGCGACGATACCTTTAGCAGCATAGTGCTATAAGTTCTTTCCTACAAACAGTTACATTTAACAATCACAAACATGTAAATGTTACTGTTATCAGGATTCTCACTACAGTGCTCATCCATCATCGATGAAATTATGGATTCATGGAAAAACTGACTCTGTTTTCTTCCACGTCACACAGACCCACAAACCCTGCACAGGTCATGTTCTCCTTTTTGTTTCTATACACTCTAAAGTCGATTGTCTGATGTCTTCAAAACTGGAGTTTGAGCCCATTCTGCAGATTTCTATTACGATCGTAATTTTTAACGCGCGTCGATTCATGTCCAGATTCTGCCTTGGATCACCTTCACCTCTACAGAGAGACTTTAGCTGCGCTGTATCTTATTTGAGATGCTTTTAGAGGCAAACAGGGTCTCTGCTAGTTAACCCGGCCACGACAGAAAAAGTTAACTTCCCCTCATGCTTAACCAGCTCATGTTGCAGCGTGTAAATCGTTTTCCTTGTTTGATTTTAAGGAATCTTTCAGCCATGCCTGGTAAACGGTAAATGGGCTGATGCTGTTTTATTCTACCTGAGCTTTATACAACAACATGTTTATGCCAGTTTACTACAAAACAGGCTGATCATCAGTCCAACAAAGACTCACACAGTTTTATTCTAAAGTCTGCAAACCTCACTGACTCTTTGTGTTCAGCTAACTCTGCTGCTTTTGTGCTTTGACTTCATAGCCAACCTTTAGCTTGTCAGTGCAAAGCACTTTCCTGCATCAGCTTTATTTAGCCCCTCTGTTTCCCCAGCGTGTCCAAAATATGGCAAAAAAATCAGAGTTACTGAAAGCACCTGGAGCGAATCGGTGATAAACCTTTAAAGTGTCCAGCCGGTAAATGCACATTGTGTGACAGCTGTAGGACACGGCGAGTTCTCACATCAGTTTCCTGTAATAAGCTTGGAGAACTTGTCTTGTGGTTTTA